AAGCTGTTCTCAGGGCTCTATCTCTCTTTGCTATAGAGAGCTTGGGCCCCAGCATGCTGGTCTCCAAATAAACCCACCCTTCTGCTTTTGCATAAGACAGTCTCTTGTGGTCTCTTACTCCGACGTTTCGCCGGACCCTTACATTTGGTGCGTTGGCTGGGAACTGCGGACAGGGAGACCTCAACAAGACTCCTTTAGGGGGGTAAGTAAGGCGCCTTATCTTCTTCTTCTTCTCTTCCTCCTTCTTCTCCTTCTTGTTTTTCCTTTGCGATCGCTCAGAGTCTGGTTTTGGGCTGGAGAGCGTAAGCTCTCAGAGCCTTCTGGTTTTGGGCTGGAGAGCGTGAGCTCTCAGAGCCTTCTGGTTTTTCTGGTTTTCTGGTTTTGGGTTGGCAGAACGTGGTTGTCAGCAGAGAGCATAAGCTCCCCCTGGCGGTGGTGGATAGACATGTCCCTGAAGCCACAGACCACGTCTTCTCAAGGGACGCTTTGGGAGACTCTGGGGGGGACAGAGGTGCCCTCATCTGGGAGGGACAAGGTGCCCTCATCTGTATTCTGCTGCCAACCTGTCTGGTTTTGCCGGCAACTATTCTTTCTCTCAGGTTGAATTCACTGTCTGTTTCTAATCTTTGCCTCTGAACTTGTGTTACACATTTACTGTTTACTGTGTGTCTGTGTTTGTGTCACGTTTGTATTGTCCCTGTCTTTGTTCAAGTAACTTTCATTATGGGACAGAGTCATTCACTGGACTGAAGTCCGCATAAGGGCTCAGAATCTTTCTTTTTCAGTAAAACGCCGGACCTGGCAGACTCTCTGTGCCTCAGAATGGCCCACCTTTGGAATTGGATGACCTCTAGAAGGATCTTTCTACTCCCCACTAATTTGAAAAGTCAGAAATATTGTCTTTGTCTTTCAGCCAGGGCCACATAGCCATCTAGATCAATAGCCGTATATCTTAACTTGGCAGAACCTTTGTGAATCTCCTCCTCCTTGGGTGAAGGCTTTTCTTGTCCCTGTTCCTGCTCCTACCCCTCCCCCTATGATTCTATCTCTCAAACCTCCTCCTCCACTCTTTGTTCTCCCTGAGTCTCAAGATTTGACTCTGCTGGACTCTCCTCCCTTTCCTTATCCCCTGCCTCCATTACCCAACCCCCAACACCCTCTAAGTGATTCCCCTGCTGCTGACTCAGCTTCTCCACCATTGAAGGAAGTTAAGCAAGCCCAGCACGCTTCAGATGACTTCCCCGAGGCACACATAGCCCCTCCTCCCCTGGAGGAAGCTGGCCCAGCTAAAGGAACTCGCCGGCAGCGAATGATTAAAACTCTGAAGCCCCCGTGATACTTCCCCTCCTTCCTCATGGGCCAATGATAGAGGATGGCCATGGTGGAGAAATGCAAGTCTACCAGTATTGGCCTTTCTCCTCTTCAGATCTATATAACTGAAAAAATAACAATCCCCCTTTTTCCGAGGACCCCACCCAGCTCACAGGTCTAATCGAGTCATTGATGTTTTCACACCAGCCTACTTGGGATGACTGCCAACAACTCTTAGGCACTCTCTTCACGACAGAGGAACGAGAGAGAATCCTCCTAAAAGCAAAAAAAAAAAAA